CTGTAAGTCTGGATTTTTTCTAAGTCGAGTTTCGTTCTTGTAAAATTAAGAAAACGCGATTTTGAGTGATGGCCCTAAGTTTATATCAGCCGGGAACTCCGCCTTGAAAGGAAGCGACACGATGTACCTCCCATCTGGATTCCGCTGTGTTGTACGCTTGTAAAGCTCCTCGCACTTTGCTTCCTCAGCTGTTGCAGTTTTATCTCGTGGAAGATCCTCAAGTTCCCAAAAAGAGCTTAGCTGTTTGTCTAGGGCCACTTCATTGAAGAACGATACTCTATTATTGTTGGTTGGGTTGACTGCATCAGCACGACCAGTCAGTATCCAACCGAACACTGTTTCTTGTGCCAGAAGAGTACTAAGAACATTCTTCTTAATGCCACTCAAAATTATATGGGGATATATGTCCCCTCCCAAGACAAGATCGACTTGCTCATTTACATAAAACCTTTTATCTGCCAGGATGAGATCAGGAAAAGCTTGTTGTGTTAGTGCGCTAATGTCGCAAGTTGGCAAATTCCCGGTAAGAGTTGGTAGCACTAACACAATAGCATCAATTGAAATGAATGGGTCAATCGGTGACCGCAACTGTATAGAACACGCTTCTTTTACCTGTGCAGAAACCGTATTATTGATGCCCGAAACTTGAGCATGCATTTTCTTTGTGGGCAAGTTGATTCTGCGTCTGAGCCTCTCCGTAATGAAGGAACACTCAGAGCCAGAATCAATTAGAGCTCTAGCAGCATAATTGGTGCCATTATAATGAATAGTAACCCGAGCAGTGCCGAGTAAAACACCTTTGCTAGTATTAGCGTGATGTGATTGCACCTTTTTTACTTGGTTACTTTTCCCCTTTGAAGCTTGATTCCTCAATTGTGCCTGTCTGGAAGTCGATGGTAAATTGTCCGCAGGATTAGAAGTATTTTCCCTGGTAGCTGTTTTAGGCGGTGCTGTCTGATTGTGTAGGAGCGTATGGTGTCGAGAATGGCAATTGGCGCAGTTGTAAGAACTCGTGCATTTCGACACCGAATGTCCGAAAGACAGACAGTTAAAACAGCTATTGTTCGTTTTTACAAAGGAGATTCTATCAGCTACAGACATCTTCAGAAATTTTGGGCACATATGAATTCTATGCTCATTGCTTTGGCACATTTTGCACATGTATTTGGCGACACTAGTTTGAAAAACGCCAAGTTTCTTGTGAGAGGGTTCAGAGGAATGCTTATGACTTGGCACTTTTGAAAACTTCGAAGTCTTGATTCCTCTTAAACCTGAAACCGATTCTAACGTTTGAAACCTGCTTGAAAGGAATCGGTCCATATCTGACCACTTGGATATTTCTGTTTTATTTTCTACCGATTGTTCCCACAGCGAAAGGGTTTCCTCAGGTAGTTTAGTAGAACACAGATACGTAATAATAGGGTCCCAGTTTGAAATGTCAATCTGGTGACTCTCTAGGGATGATATACAATTATTAATATCCCTTTGTAATCTCTTTATTGAGCTTCCACATTCACTATCAACTGTATTCAAGTTGAAGAGAATCTTCAACTGAGTGTTAACTAGGATCCTCTTATTTTCGTATCTATCGCAAAGATTCTTCCAGGCTGTGTTAAAGCCTTCATTCGTTAAGTCGCATTTCTTGACAATTTCTTTGGCTTCACCCTGCGTTTTTTGATTCAGATAATAAAGCTTCTGTATGGGTGTTAGCCGTTTGTTCAAGATATAAATTGCCGTGAACATGTCACGAAAAGTTGGCCACGACAAATAATCACCTTTAAAAACGTCAATATCGCAAGGTGGAAGATGCAAACTATGCGAAGCGAGTGACATCTCTTCACTTTCCTTTTCTGATTTTTCCAACTTTTCGGAATATTCGTTAATTTTTGTCATACACCGGACAAAAGCTGCATAGCAGATCTTATTTTTCTTTCTTATAGCGCTAACATCTTTAGCACTAGTTGATTCGGTAGTCAGAACTTCGTCAAAGAGTGCTTTGGCTTTCTCCCACAGTACACTAAGCTCGCTTTGCTGAATTTTCAGCGAATGTTTGGTGTGCTCACCTGTGGGAGTGCTCAGAAATTCTGTATCAAATTCAATGACCGAATCTGCTAACCGGGTGTATGTTTCCATTTTATTTAATTTTTTCACTTATTTGCGAAATAACAACTTCACAAGAAATTTTTGGAAGTATCACTATGAGAGACTGACTCAAAAGAAGCCGATTTTCCAACCGTAAAGGTAGCACACGAAGAAAATCCTATGTCAAGGTAACCCAAAACTATATACCCAATGTATATAAGCAGAATGCACCACCAAAATACCACCAATTCAACCACAAAGTAATAAAAATTCTCTATTTTTCCTTTAAACTGTATCTGTGAACCTTTTATGTTTATTAACACCGATTTAGCAATATAAATGCGTTTTAAGTATACGTATGTATGTATGTTTGTTTGTTCACAAGAAATTGCTCGCCAACCAAACCAGTGAGATCTGTATATGTATGTATGTGTATATATTCTTATGTACAAGCGCGTTATATGCCAAGTGCAAATAAATAATGAATATGGAAAAACACACCACTTGACTAATTCGAAATAGTGCCAAAATTTGTATTGGTTTTTAATAAATTAAATGCAAACGCG